TAGGAAAAAAACAGAGTAAACTAATTGCCAAATAAAAATGAATACTAAACAAACATTTTCACATACACTTTTATTTGGACATAAACGTGTCAAAATCTTCGGTAATGTTACTTCATTACACACAGAGAAATGCAATACATTCGGTGTCGTTGCGTATGACGGTAATGCATGTTTGTGTTATATTCCACATCATATTTTAGTTGTTCAATTGCAAATTCCCTTGTAGGAAAATCTACTCGCATTTCATACCACTGAACTCCATCTATTAGTCTTATTGTGAACTATATGAGAGGCTGAGAAAACAGACCAAGAAAAGAAAAAAAATATATATTTACTCATTGAGCAGTTTGCTTTTAGCGATTCCGTCCATATAGCTAAATGTATTTTGGACTTTGATGAAATTTTGTGAGCCTTGTAAGCCATTTAGTGCAGTTCTTTATTATCATTATTGTTTGGCTCTATCCAGTTCTCCTTTCTCCTATTTTTATTATCCTTCTACCCTCTCTCTTCTTTCTTACTTACTTACTTTCCTTTTTTAATTTTGTCTTAGCTCTTTTTCTTTCTTTCTTTCTATCTTTCTTTTAGTACAGGGGGGATGTTTGGGGAAGAGAGATAGGAGCGGATGTTGAGTGAGTGGTAAAGAGAGAAAGAGAGAGAGAGAGAGAGAGAGAGAGAGAGAGAGAGAGAGAGAGAGAGAGAGAGAGAGAGAGAGAGAGATGGAGTCAGAGGGTAAGAAGGTGGGTGAAAAGAGAGAGAGTGGGGAAGGGAAGGAGAGAGAGAGAGAGAGAGAGAGAGAGAGAGAGAGAGAGAGAGAGAGAGAGAGAGAGAGAGAGAGAGAGAGAGAGAGAGAGAGAGAGAGAGAGAAGGAAAGAGAGTGAGAGTAAAGAGGAAGAGAGAGAGAGAGAGAGAGAGAGAGAGAGAGAGAGAGAGAGAGAGAGAGAGAGAGAGAGAGAGAGAGAGAGAGAGAGAGAGAGAGATAATGATAATGATGATAATAATAGTAATAAAGATAATAATGATAATGACGGTAATGATAATAATAACAATGGTAATAATGATAGCAATAATGATAATAATAGTGATGATAACGATAAAAATAATAATATTAGTAATAATACTAATATGATTATTATTATTATGATTACAATAATGATAATTATTATTATCATTATGATCATGATAATGATAATTATAATAACAATAATAACGAGGATGATGATAATAATAATGATAGTAACAATAATAATAATAATAATAATAATAATAATAATAATAATGTGTGTGTGTGTGTGTATGTGTGTGTGCATGTGTGTGTGTGTGTGTTTGTGTGTGTGTGTGTGTGTGTGTGTGTGTGTGTGTGTGTGTGTGTGTGTGTGTGTGTGTGTGTGTGTGTGTGTGTGTGTGTGTGTGACGAAAATTAGTATCACAGATTGTCCCAAAAATTATAATAAATATATATAATGAAAAGAAAAAACTCTCGCCTCACTTTATATGTAGATGTACGCAAATGTAGGCACTTCCATTTTCGCGGCGTGTCCTTCTTTATTTTGGCGGGAAAAAAGGTTTCTTGAACGCGTTGAGTTTTATACTCACGGTCGCTTTTATGTCTCGGCTTTCTCTGTGATACTAAAAGCAACTGCACATTTGTTGGCTTGAGATATACGAGAGTAGATTAAGACATCATTTTCTCAAAGAAAGTGTATCTTGATATAAAAAAGATGATATATGTGCAGGCAAATAAGATCTTGCATTGTCATTAAAATGTGACCGTTAGGCATTTCACGTTTTCTTTCATTCAGTCTTGCGGATTTTCTCTTTCGGTTTCAGTCTTAGATATTCAAGATCGTCACAATACATTTTCTTTTTTGTGATCTTGCCAAAATGAAAACATCGAAAATAACTCAAAATGACATACAGTGATAACTAACATTTTTTTTCTTTTCTCAGGTACGCCATCTTGTTTGTGACTCCGACAGATTCTCCTGTGAGTATAAACAGCGTCTGCATAACCAATACTCCAGTTACTGTTTATTTCGGTTAATGATTTACTGATTCGTGTCGTATTATCATTGCAATATATACCTAGTTTCATCATCATTATCATTATCATTACTCCTGATTATTATCCTCATTGTTCATATTATCGCTATGAAACTTATCTCTCTATTATCATCACCCTCTGTATAGATTTATTATCATCTCAAGCATTATTATGATTTATAGCTTTATAGTATTATCATTAGTCACTACACTCATCGCTAACAACAAGAGCACTATCATCACAAATATTTATCACCGTCACCATCACTGCCACTCTCCCTCCTCATCCTCATTCATTAGAAAAAAAAAATGCACAACCAATTTGATAACGATTATCATCATTAACGCGGAGTGTATCAAATTGCAAATTCAATTTTAAGGGAAACGAGCACTTAAAATTAAGTAGAAGAGGGACCGTCTCCGATTACGAGGGATACGAGCCCAAAGAAGAAAAAAAAAATTACAACATCCCTTTAAGCTCTCGAAATCTCTTGGAAATTAATTAGGCTCGTAACCCTTTTCTTGCAGAGACACGTGGATTATTCCTGTCTTTTTGTTTTTCCTTTTTTTTTTTTTTTTTTGTGATAGAGGTATAGAGAGGAGTGGGGAGGAGAGGGTGACTATAAAGACGGTTTTATTACAGTCTGGGATAATGATGTTAATCGTTAGTTGAGTTTGGCGATTGTCAGCACCGAATCAGTGTAAATCATTTTGGTTACGTTGTTATCAGTATTATATTATCTTTAGTTGTTACTATCATTATCATCATTATTGTTATTGTTTTGCTGTTGCTCTTCTTACTGTCACTGTTGCTACTTGTTATTATTATTATTGTTGTTGTTATTATTATCATTATAATTATTATCATTATTATTATTATTATTATTATTATTATTATTATTATTATTATTATCATTATTATTACTATCATTATTATTATTATTATTGTTATTATTATTATTATTATCATTATTATCATTATTATTATTATTGTTATTATTATTATTATTATTATCATTATTATTATTATTATTATTATTATTATTATTATTATTATTATTATTATTATTATTATTATTATTATTATTATTATTATTATTATTATTATTATTATTATTATTATTATTATTATTATTATTATTATTATTATCATTATATTATTATCATTATCATTATCATAATTATCATCATCATCATTCATGTTGTCATTTTTATTGGTATTATAACTAACATTGTTATTATTGTTTTTATTATTTCTATCATTATTATTATTGTTGTTGCTGTTATAATTACTATTACTACTAATGCAACTGTTCTTACTATTATCAGTATAATTATTTTTGTTGATATTATATTATTGTTATTATTACCATCATTGTTACCATTATTATTATCATCATTATTGTCATTATAGTAAAATCGCCATCACCATTGTTATGAACATTATCATTATCATCATATCATCATCATCACTACCATCATTATTATCATCATCATCATTACAATAATAGTTAAACAATAATAAGAATAAGAACAAAAATAGAAATAATAATTATTATTATCATCATTATTGTTACCATTATAATGATTATTATTATCATTATCAAACTATTATTATTAAAGATAATAATATTTCTTATTATTATTACCATCACAATCATTGTTATGATGATAACTGCTATCGTGTCATGATGATAATCCTCATCATCATTAACACCATCACTATCACCATCACCATCATCACCACCATCGTTCAGTAGAATTAGTGGTAGTAGGCTATATCTGGTAAGTCTAACAATATCATTATAAATGTGCTTTTAATACTTCACTCACTTCAAAAGATTAAAGCGATATATTGCAAATATTCAGACTATGTCCGATTTGTTTAAAACAGTGTATATAATATTTATATATAGTTTTGTTTCAGCTTTATCTACATGTTTTCTGTTGTTGTTTTTATAGTATCCAAAGCTTGATATTTACGCTGCCATTTTTTAAGAGCTCAAAATAGTGCATTTAGTTTGCATCAAAACTGCGTATTACATAACCATGAAACGTTGAATTAGTCGGGACTTTTGAGTAATCCACCATACTGTTGCTCTTTTTTTTTTTTGGAGGGTCGTATTATACCGCTGGCAGAGAGCTAATATTTCGCCCAGTGCAAATTCATGAGTGCATTTCCCATTGTTGCGTGTGGTGTAAGTTTTGAAAAAGTAGAACTGCTATATATTTTGTTAATTGCGCGTCACTGCTAGATGCTAGCTTCGCGAGATCGATGATTGGATCAAGAGAAAACGGATGGCTTAGCGAGCGCGAGTGTAGGGGAGACTCTTGTAAAATGGGCTTTGCGTTAGCAGCGTCCACTTATTTGTTTAGGAGCGTTTTCGTCTTCGGTATTTCGTAGTTTGTGTTATATTTTAGTAATTTGGGAAAACGGTGGGTGATTCTACTTCTAACAGGGTAAATATGTAGTTTTCGTCACATGATATTTCATATCTTAAAGTGAAACGTGAAGTATATCCCATTACCCAAAAGGCCTGTATCCCATAACATATTTTAACCTTTTAGGTTGATTACATTATCTTTACCTCAGAACAAAGCTTCAAGTAAAGTATGTTACGAAAATATATACGAAGGCCTTCAGCACATACGCAATTAACGCACATTTCATTATTTTGGTCCCCAGCCCCCCCCCCCCCAAAAAAAAAAAAAGATTGAAAGGAAATAAGAAGGAATTTCTTAACTACAACGTTTTCCTAGAAGCCCAACAAAGAGCAGTAAAAGTAGGAGTACAATTCCCATTTCATTTGACCAAAAGTTGAGGATTCTTGGTCCGGGCGTCTGGTGGGGGCGGGGGAGCAAGGCAGAGATCCATCCAGTGACATCCGGCAGCCTCGAGGCCCAGGGCGGGGGGGAGGGGTCGCCTTACCTCCAGCCTCCAGTGTGTAGTGTAGTGCGCA